AGATTGTCATGGAGTGGAAGAACTGGCGGAAGGTCGCCGAGGAGTACCTCACCACCAAGGTCGACTACCGCACACCGCAGATCCCAGTAAAGGCCTTTGCTGGCTCCTCGACCGCTCCCCCCGTTGCCACAGTACAGAGCACAGGCAACCCGCTCTGGCGACAGGACCTCCTCGCGCGCCAGGACTCACAGCCTCAGGGCGCCGTACAAAAGGCATATGCCCACCCCGCATGGATCCCTCTCGCTCGCGACTGGGGAGGCAACTACCTCGCTGTTGATCTTGCCCCTGGTCCCAACGGCCAATGGGGCCAGATCATCATTTTCGGCCGCGACTACGACACCAAATACGTTGTCGCGCGCTCGTGGGGCGCCTTACTGGCCATGGTCGCAGATGACTTTGCCTCGAAAGACGTGTCCATGGACGAGGAGACGGGCGAGCTGAAGCTGCTAGCTTTCAAGCGCCAGAACGTAGAGCCGCCCTACCTAGAAGTCCTCCGCTGGCGGTGTGACCAGAAGCACGGCCGCCGGCCACCCAAGAGACGCCCGAACAGCGGTCTGCGCGTCAACCCCAATGCGCCGGGTATGGTCGTCCCCAGTAGCACTGCGAGCAGCCCCTACCACAGCCCTGTAATGGGCCCCGAAGACCGCGGCCGAAGCCCCCACCGCCTATCCAAACCGCCCAAGGGCGTCAGCCCACGAGGCAAGCTCTCCAGCCCGCTAGCCCGGGTCGCAGAAGAGAACCCAGCGCCCATCCGCGTACACACCAACCTCGACTCCAAGACCGCGACTCCCCAGGAGAACCTCATCTCCATGGACACCCCGCGACCAAGCGACGAGTTCCCTGCCGCCCGCCTGCCCACACCGCGTGATAGCCTCAGCAGCGACAAGGAGAACAAGGAGGTCAAAGATGACAAGGAGAACAAGGACACGAAACCAGCTGCCCCCGCCGCGGCCGCTCCCGCGCGCTCGTCGCTGAAGAGCCCCGTCACTGCCACCGAGGCGGAAGACCTCAAGACCGTCGAGATATAGGAATCAAGGCGTAATCATTTGCCTTTCTACCACCATCACCATCACAATAACAACCCTTCCCACCATTGATGAATCTACTACTTTTTTAGAAAGAGAGCGAGCGAGACAGAAAGAAACGGCTGGATACCTACCAATATACACGTTTTCAAGGAGTGCAACGGCGTAGGAAATATTTCGGGTGGATGGGAATTCAGGGTGTAGCATTGGGGAAATTAATCATTCTGACAGCCTGGAGAGAAGATTCGTTTCAAAGGTGGTTTATGTGTGCAAAGGCAGGCAGGCAGGCGTATTGATGAGCATTTCCCCCCATCCTTTCGTGTTCTTGATAAGTCAAGATGCGGTTTCTTCTCCATTTCGCTTCCACCACCCACCCGACTGATTGATTGACAACAATGCAAATTTTGAGCTTCTTCTTTTTTGGTTCGTTCCGAATGTACAATTTTTCTCGTTTGAATGCTTATCTAGCGATGATATGGATATGGATATGTAACAACACAATGTCATCCGATTTTTTCCTCCGCAACAATCACTGTCATTGACTTCTACTAGCTATGCGTCTTCGCATGCGGTTTCTGTACCAACTCGCTGCATGAGGTTTCTGTAACAACGACCCGACGAACACGCATCTGTTTACCATTTTTTCCTTTTTCTCTCTCCGAGGTACCTCTCTATGCTTCTTTCGGTGTTTTAGGCTTGGCCCCCGCTGCCCGCTCCTTTCGTGCTGCGACTAGCACCTGACAACTGAACCCACTTGGGGCATATTTGCTTCTTCCCGTCTGCATACCATGACTCGGCTATTCTATATCCACTTGGTAACCATTTGCTTCTTCCCGCGCCCCCTCCCCTCTTTCCGCTTCGACCTTCCGGGAGAGTTCTGTGCTGAACCCATTTGTTTCCGATATTACTATTCTGGGTGCAAGTTTTGGATGCGCGTTTGGGATCATGTTTCTTCCGAGGAGGGTCGTTCTCACGATGATGGAAAGGTGAGTGGATTGGTAGTATGCAGGTGTTGTTGCAAGATAGACATGGCATGGAATTTGGTCGTCATGTCCGCGGATACTGGTCATGTGCGTACTTGGGACTTGGGACTTGGCTGTGCTGGTGGATTATGCAGCGGGGAAAGGTGAACATTAGGTTTGTACCGAACTTGGTTCCTTGGTCCATGGCATGGGAGTTAGGATGCCGTTTGCTGACTTGGAAAAGGGCGGGGGTTTACTGTGCCTCCTCGTGACACGGCCTCTCTCTGCTTTGTTCGCATGGCGAACATCAAGGTTCTGTTGCGAACAGTATGTGAGTCAACGAAACGGCGTGCATCAACTGCTATGCTTGACAGCAGTCGCCTCGGTGCTTTCTTTCCTCCACGAAGATACCTAGGTTATTACTTTTTCTACTAGTGACCGACCAGTGTCGCTGTGCTATTTTCCCCTCCCGCCAAGATGACCACATCCCTTGGGATAACTGCATCCAAGCGATGTAAGCTAGAAACCTTCCTAGCTAACTTCACGACACTCCTCGGCTGTACGTTAGTCGTTTTTCGTCACCACAGTCTTTACCTAGCTTTCTAGCCCAGCGATAGTTCCAACAGCAGTCGTAGCACATTTACTTAATCCTACCTAGATAATCTTATCCAATTCTTCGTCCAAATACACGCACAACCATCACACCCCACGGAACCGGTCACTGGACGAGTCGTTTTCGCGTCGACACCCTTACTCCTTTCCTTCGACACAGCAGCAATGGCCCCAGGGATGACAATGCTTCGCCTCAGCATGAGAGTAGTGGAGATACAGATGAGAAGAATGAGGAAAGAGATGAAGGCGAAGCAAAGGCAGAAGGACGAAATAAGAGTTGATTCATTAGAACAGCGAGAGGGCGGAATGGGATGAATATTGCGAGGCGACGGTGGATCTGACGCGCATGAACTACCGAAACTATTGTCTGCTTCAGAAGTGCAATCTGGAGAGATGGTCAAGGAGAAGGTCATAACGACGAAGAAGGTGGTAGTGACAGTGATGGTGACGGAAGACGGTGCATTCAACATTCGCATAACAACCGCAAGGCTCGCATACAGGTCTACCACTCCAACCTACATCGAACTCTTCTCCGGCACAAGAACGACCCGAACGCTACACCGAGCCGCCTTTGCTTGAAAGCTATCCAGCCACCACTAGTCATCCTCGCTGAGTCTTACTCGTCATCTACGCGGCGTGCCGTGCCACAGTGTTCCTTCACCCGCATGCGGGGTAAGAACTCCCCCCAATCACTTGTATGAACTCTGCTTACGCGTTTTGAAAACCATTAGACAGCCCAAAACCACATAATCACACGACATGCACACACTACCAGGGCTGTGCCCGCGTCGCACGCACGTACAGCTGATTTGGGGTGAACGGGCAATCCGATGAGGGGTTGTTGGCTTCAGCCTTGTGGGTTTGAATGATGGACAGTAACAACTTTATCCGTAATTAGCGATACCCTCATCCCTTTTATTTGCACCATTTAGCCTCGTCATAACAATGTCCAACCCATTTGAACTTGCGCCAGATGCTGCCGCCGGGTTCTCCGCCTCTATTGACGTCGACGATGCGGTTGTTCGCTGTAAGGGCCAACTCCCGGACTTGGTACTTTACTTTTTGCCTGACACGCCCTTTGTCTAGTCTTTCCAGAAGGATCAAAGATTGTGACTGCCGTTGGTCATGGCGCGAGTCTGTGGACGCGATCCGCTCGAATCGACGTCGAAACGTCAGATGGGACACCGAAATCCTACTTCATCAAAGTCTGTCTCACGAGTATCTTACTCTAGGTCAATACACCGCAGAAAAACCATCTGACTAATGTGAAAACAGGTCGCGCCAGGTCCGAATGGCCGTAGTATGCTAGAAGGCGAGTACCACTCAGCCGTCGACATGCGCGAAGTTCTGCCCGGCTTCTCACCCATCCCCATCGGATGGGGCGTTTTCGATTCCGACGAAGACCTCGCTTTCTTCCTGCAAGCCTTCCATGACATGGATACCGAGATACCCGATATGGACCAGTTGACCAGAACGCTCGCCGAGTTTCACATCAAAAGCGAGGAGCGCTTTGAGGAGCTTACGCGGGGTCGACGCCCCGATGGCATGAAGTTCGGTTATCACGTCACGACGCACAACGGCAAGCTGTCGCAGGACAATACTTGGACGCGAACCTGGGAAGAATACTTTGTGCAGAATATGAGGAGGATGCTGGAGCATGATGAGAAGGAGGGGGGTGAGCGCCCGCAGGAGATCGAAGAGTTGCTCGAGCCGCTCTTCGAAAAGGTCATACCGAGGCTCTTGCGCCCTATGGAAATGAACGGACGGGAGGTGAAGCCCTCACTCATTCATGGCGATTTGTGGTATGGCAACACTTCGACCGATCACGAGAACAACGTGCCGATCGTGTATGACGCATGTTGCTTCTGGGGCCATAATGAGTGTAAGTGACAGATCGAGTTTGTAGACTGTTAGCTGACATTTTGCTTCCTATAGACGAGATCAGGACCATGCGCGCAAAGACACGATATCGCTTCGGCAAAGCCCAACAAAGGGCGTACCTGCAACACTATCCTGCTGCATATCCAATTGAAGATTTCGAAGCAAGGAATGCGCTGTACCATCTGTAAGTAGCCGAAGCTTGTAATCATTTGATGGAAAGACCATTCTGATACCTGCGACAGCCGAAGCCAACTCCATGATTGCGCCCTATTCCCTCAAAACCCACGATATCGTCAAACGTACGTACAAGAAAGAAAGAACTCCCAGTAAATATGATCACGCTAACACACGAACTAGCTTTACGGAGGAAACGAAGAAGCTAGTGGATATGTTCCCCGATGGCCTGGAAGGCTGGCTATCACAGCAAGAAGCGCAGAAGGAGTCCGAGTCGGCTCCAGAGAAGAATGCGTAGGCGCAGGACCGTCGTGTTGGCGATAATTTCTTCAAGTCCTTGGCACAATCAGAATGCAATAGTGTAGGTTAACGGTCGTTTGATGACAGCAATTTCATCCTTTCTCGCAATCACCAGTTCACCATTCGTCGTGAGGAGTAGCAGAGGCCGGTTGTTCGCTTTGAGCCACTCGTCAGGAATGAACATGTGGTGTGCGCATTTAGCGCCTTGGACACCGAGGGTGAGTGAGCATAGCCACAGGTCCTTGTCCAGGAAGTACAGCTTGTTGCCCTGGATGCCGATGATGTGCTCCACTTTTGTGGCATCGCCCGACGCGATAGGGTGCAGTACGTGTGGAGCTGCGCCTGTTTTGTGGAAGCTCGAGCAGTCTAGCAGAGCAGTAAGTATCGTGGATGGGCGCTTGCCACCCTTGGACAACGCGATACCGATGTGTTTTCGGCCGGACGTTGGTGCTGCGTGTTGCACGATCAACTTTGGCTCTCCGTCGGCAAATATCTCCGTCTTCCCCAGGGTTGATAGCAAACTAAAGTCGTTCCATGAATATTGCGTGATGATATTGTATTGTATCGCGAAGAGCATGTTTGGTTGGCTGGGGTCGTTAGCCCAGATTTCATCGGACGTCGGCTCAGATTTGCTGCTGATTCCATCAGCTTCTAGGTCGAAATGTACGACTGAGTCGTTCAAAACGACTAACAGCTTGGAGCCTTGATCGTTGAAGAGCAGCTGGCGTATAGGCTCTTGGTAGTGTATGTGCAGAATATCCTTGCACGCCCATTGGCCTAGAGCCTGGTACGATTTTACGATGAGCTCGTTCGTTCCGCCAATGCTCGCGATAGTCCTAGGGCTGATGGCGATTTGGGATATCCAGCTACCTGTCGCATGTTCGTACAGGAGCTGAATGCGGCTTCCCTTTTCCGTCTGGTGCAATGCCACAGCGCCGTTATCGGTACCGCACAAAACGAACTTGCCGCAAGCCGTGGCAGCTACAGCAGAGATCTCCGCTACTTCCTCTTCTACTATAACATTCTCGTCGTGCGTTGGCAGCATATCTGACATGCTCTCCGTCTCTTGAGGTTCTGTGCGCATCAAGACTGGCGGCTCCCACACATTGCATTGCGACTCGCGGATATCGATAAGACGCTCGCTGTTGGCACTGAACGTGATTTTCCGGATGGCATGATTTGACTTATGAGTTATCTTGTAAAGAAGTCTCAGCGTCTCGGCCTCGTAAAGTAATATCGCACCAGTACTGTCACCGACCGCGAGCGTGCGACCATCGGGGCTACAGGCAAGTTTTTCGACTTCGAAGTCATGAACCATGTCGATCAACGCACCTTGGGCGCTGGGATCGTACGTTGCAAGCCCTCCGTCTCGGTAGACAACGGCTAGCAAATTGATGTCTGAGCTTGGGCAGAACTCTATCGCGGCAGCAGGCTCTAAGAAGTCGAACGTTTCGGCGTTGAAGCTCGAGTCGGGCTCGCATTGACCAATCTCTTCGTTGGTATCGAGCTCTGATAGAATGATCGGATGACCACGATGTACTGTGGCAAGCATGTTCGAAGCGACATCAAGACTGGCACATGTTATGTCGCCACCAGGAAAAAGCTGGAGACCTCGTCCTGCATTCGAGTAGGGGCGCACAGTCATCTTCAAAAGTCTGCCGTCCGTGGAATCTCGTACCACCAGAACATTGTTTCTTGTAATGCCGATAATCTGGCGATCCTCTTGAGCAAATGAGAGTGCCAATGGCTCAGCGGTAACTTTCTCTTCCCACACTTTGACGCCATCAAAAACGTTCCAGAGCTTCACGAGTCTCAGTCCTGCGGAAACCAACATGTCACCCGATGAGCTGTAGTGCAGGATCTTGACCATCTCTTTATGTTGGAATGAGCAAATCTCCTGGAACGTAGCATGGTCATATACAAACACCATCCCGCTTTGTAAGCCGACAGCAAATGTAGACTCTCCGCTCGCGACTGCAGTGGCAAGCTTCCCATGGAAAGACATACCGCAGAGCCGATCGTCCCATGAGTCGTTCGAGATACCGACTACATCAATACCCCTGCGGCTGTCATACTGAAGGAGGAAAGCACTCTCGCGCGGTACTAGGGGAGGAATGAGTCCGTAGATCGACTGAGGTAGCCTGAGTAGATTCTTGCCGAATTTGGCCACAACACGAACCAGGTCTATAGACCATTGCTGCACGCACTGTGATTTCTTGTCGATCAATGGCTTGTGCTTTGCTCGTGCTTGTAGGAAGCCGCGTAGATTTTGCGAGGCTTGTATGAGGGGTCGCAGCTTTCCAGTCGCGGCAACGTGTTCGATCCAGCTCAGGCCGTTCGTTGTGAGAAACTTGTAGATGCTGTCCAACAGAATGTCGTCTTCAGAAGTTCCTCGACGGACGTGATCACTGAAATGAAGACATGCGTATTGGGCGAACGGCGACGTCTCAAGTCGGCGGTCGATGCGCACTGTGGACGGTCCAGGAGAGGCCAGCATCCGTACGGGTCTCATCTGGGAACTCTTGAGGTACTCCAGACATAACGTCGCTAGAGAATGGTGTGCATTCGTCGAGTTTGTTGCGAAAGTCTCAAAAAGCCCGTAGTTCAGCAGGTAGTCGCGGGCTGTCTGATGCACTAAGCACACGCGGCTGGACCTGTCGACAAATATGAGATTGCCACATGCTGATTTGATGGCATGTTCAAGCAATGTAATCCGAAGGTGGATTTTCAATGCATTAGCAAGTTCCGCAACGGTCAATGGGTACATGGCACACACGACGATACTTAAGATGGCTTTCGTAAGCTTCTTGCCCTCCTCGTCGGTATCCAGAATTTCCGTCAGCGTCCTTTTGTAAAGCTTGTCCATGCCAGGTGGCATCTCGTCCAAAATGCGCTCAACGTCTTCAATGCTATAAGCATGCTCTAGCTTTTCCATCACCAACTGCACCCAGAGGAAACAGCCTTCAGACTTTTGTAGTATCTTCTCAGTGAGATGTAACCGACGTTCCACTGGCTCCCGTTGAAGGTTGTGTGATTGTAGGCCGTTCTCCACGTATCTCTTGATGTTGTGTTGAATGTCGTCAGCCCCGAAACTGTGTTCAGATACCCTCGCACCTACAACGGCCATTTTTGTCCTAATTTGCGGCGTTGGTCGGCTGGTGATTAGTATCTTTATCTGATAGACCGCTTCCAGTTTGCTGATCATGTTGAGGAACACTTCGAAGTCGCGGCATTCGTCCAAAGCATCGATAATCCAGTACTGCGGTCGACGGATGGGGCATGTGAAAATACCGCCAACAAAGAGCTTCCGCCATATGATCTTCTCTTTCGAGCTATCGAACTGAACGCCAGTCTCCTTCAGCCGCAGAAGCTTCTCCCGGACACAAGGGTTCAGTAGCGCCATTTGATATGCTATGGATCGCAACATGCCACTGACCGTTGACTTAGATCGTTCTTCTAACGAGAAGAAATAGTAGCAACAGTCCATGTTGACAGCTTCAAGATGGCCCACGATCTGGCTTGCCAAGGTAGATTTCCCTGCGCCGGGCATAGCATTGACCCATAAGACTTCCAGAGACTGAGGGATGGTTGGACTCGCTGGCAGAATCATGTCGTACACGGTGCTATCACGCCAGTTGCGGAACAACTCCAGATCCAAGAACCACAGACCCGAACCCGGGAGCGCGAGGTCCTCCAGCTCGCAAAGATCGTCTTCCGGTCTGTCGCGCACATCCAGATATTCTTGCAGGCCGCGCAGCATCTGCACATCGTGCGCATGTTGTTTCGAAGACACTGTGGCAAGAAATGTGAGTGGGGCCAATCGACACTGCGAATATGACTTACCATGTCGCATGATCGTTTCTATCGCCTGACAGAGCGAGTTCCGAAGAAGGATGAAGTCCGGGTCTTTGGGACTTTCGAACTTGCATATGCCGCGGTGGTTCTTATTCATGGATATCCTTTTCTCATGTTCGTAGCCTAGAACAGCGGAGTCCGCGCTGACTATCATTTGTGATGTGCCTGCCCAAGTTTCCAAAGTCTCGTAGAACGAATATAGCTGTAAGTTCTTTGAGAAGCGTGGGAAGTCATTGTTGATGGTTTGTATCATGACGGAAGCGGGTTGAAGGTCCTTAACATAGGGTTTGGCACCATGAAACGGTGAAAGAGCGACGAGTAGCTCCGCCGACTTGGCGCTTTCGGCTCCTTTGTGCGGAGTACCGAGGAAGAAGATGCTTGCAATCCGACCTGCGATGTCTTCATAGTTGGGGTTTCCATGAGCCTCGATGTGCGCCTCCCATTGTTAGCTTCATGTCTTATCAGATATAACGCCGGCCGTACCTTTTTCACAAGAAGACCACCCATACTGTGCGCAACGAAAATGATCTTGGAATGCGGCGTCTCTCTCATTGAAGGAGAACTCTGTATGGAAGCTAGTAGCGTTCCAGCGATGTGGTTTATGTTGAGGATACTCGATTTGGTGTTCATCCAGTCAGACTTGTATCCGAAGCTGTGAACGCGGGCGTTCTGGAAGCCTGGGTCTCTAGACAACCATTCTTTCGGCCAAAAATGTTCCAGCCTTTTGGAGCTGCTCCATGTCTTCCGAGACCCTCCTTGTAATCCATGCACGAAGATAATATCCACCAGAGGCTGAGGTGAACTGAAGAGCGTGTTCAGTCCGAGCGGGCCGAAGACATCTTCATCGTTGAAGTTCGTTGAATCGGCTATCGAGAGGGAGGATAGGACGCGCTCTAGAGACTCGGTGTCGAGAGTGTCTTTCGTCTTTCGTCGGCGGCCGAACTACGCTCGACGTGTCAGCATCTCATTTCGCCTCATTACAGATGGTTGGCGTCTTACGGGATAGTCCATTGCGTCCGAATCTACTTATCTTCATGCCGATAATAGATCCGCCCGAAGTCGTGGATAGATGTTGCGTATGTCCGCCGATCCGAGGCTGGAGAGAACTTCAGTCTCAATGTCAGACGTGCCAAGCCGTCTAACACACGTTTGTATCCGAGTGTGACTCTCGAATGATGACCACGACGGTATTGAAACGTAACGCCGGTGCTCACGTAATGCAGTAACGCGGCACGGGTGGGCTGAGTGCATGCCGCATCTGCAGGCGAGCAACATGGGCACATGGGCTTGATATGCGTGACACGTACAGCGCATCGCCGATTGCTGCCTATGTAAGGAATTGAGTCGGCTGCTTGCAGTGTCAATACCTGCTCGCTGTTGCGTCTGGTCCCAAAACCCTCGACAGAATGGCCCGATCCGCCACAACCGTCATTATTGGAGCAGGTATCAACGGGTTAGCCACAGCCTTTTACCTGGCGAGCGCTTGCAAGACCGGAGAAACTATTGTCATCGTCGAGACATCTCCAGATGTCGTGAGTTCTGCGTCTGGAAAGGCTAACGGTGTCTTGTCGGATTACGGTCGTATAGCTCCTACTGCTGAGCTGGCCCATCTATCATGGAAGCTGCACCAGCAACTTGCGATAACGTATGAAGGCGCCATCAGATGGGGATACGCAAAAACCGTGAGGCATAAGTTGTTGAGTGCGAGGGACCCAGTGCCTGAGTTTCACGCCCAGTACCCTTTGCCAGAATGGATCCGCAGGCGAGACCAGTATTGCCAGGTGACCATGGGTAACCCACACGATTGTGCACGCTTGTACGTATACACGACTTGACGTAGAACGCTCTCGGCTGATCGATCTAAGGGACACGCGCAAGTTTATCGAATTTCTCCGTCAGAAATGCGAAGAGTTTGGTGTCAAGATGCTTTTTGAGTCGGAGGTTCACCGTGTGCACACTGAACAAGAAGAGCTGACAGGAGTCACAATCAAGCACAACGACGAGCTCCGCGAAGTCGAGTGCGCTACCCTCGTGATAGCGGCAGGATCATGGAGTGGCAGAGTCCTTGAGAAGTTGTTCCCCTCGTCTAGTTTCCAGCTCGAATTTGAGGCGAGTGATCGATCCGCAGGTAACTGGCTGATTCTGAAGGCCCCGCGCCCTTCGAACACCGAGTATTGCCACCAAGTGTATGTCGAAAACGTCGCTGGAGCGCCAGTAGAAATATCCGATTATCGAGACGGACGACTCTACGTAGGCGGCTACGTTGGCGATACCGAAATCATGCCTGCAACAGCGGTAGAGGTAATACCTCAAGCCGCGTCGATCGCCGTCATGAAGGAAATCGCTTCACAATTCGTAGATATCGATGATATCGAGCTGGCAGTATTGGAAACCGGACGCTGTTATCGACCGATCCTGGCTGAGGGTAGGCCAATCATTGCAAAAATCCCAATGCGCACTTTGATGGGGAAGCTCTCTAATGCAGCACGAGAGCCGTATATGCCAGGCGGTGTTTATGTCAATACGGGACAAGGTACAAGCGGAATCTGCATGGGTCCTGGCAGTGGATTGGTCATGAGCGAGCTCATCCGCGGGCTGCAGCCTTCAGCCGATGTCAGTGGCTTGAACTTGCCCGCGTGACAGACATGCTGTGTGTGGCCCTGTCAATGAAGGAACCCAGATTGGCTGACGCGAAGCACACACGGGCGGCTACGAACATGTGGCGAACCGTCGCGTCCGCGACCCTTATACCGTAACAAAATTGTGTATGCGTTAAGGGAGCAACAAGATAGTTGTGCTATGCGCACGATTCGAAAAGAGAGATAATAGGTTAATGAAAGTGAATCGTGGATACATGTTACACACGCTCTAAACGCTTTATCTATAATATAAATATTTATACGTTCTATTATTTATTATCTATCTAATATTTTATATCTTCTTTAGTATTATTATTTAAGTAGCTTATATATTTTTTTATATTTTTACTTATATATTATATAAAGTAAGTATAGTATTTATTTTATTTTAGTATTTAATATTACTACTAAAGTAGTTTTAATATATAAGTAGCTACTTTTTATAAGTAGGCTAGTATACTAAGTATTTTATTTAAGTTAATAGCTTATATATTATTACTTACTTATTTTAAATAAAAGTTTAAGCTATTAGTATAAGACTTAAGATATTAGTATAACTTATAAAGAATATAGTAGCGTTACTTACTTAATAAAGTATTTAAGAAGTAGCTATATATTTTTAAACTATATAACTTTTTAGTATATATATTTATATAAAAAAAATACTAAAAAGCTTATAAAATTACTAAATACTTAAGAGCTTATTTTTTATATAAAAAAGTAATAGTAATAATATTAGAGAAGATATAAATAGTAATAGTAATAGTAGTATTATTTAGGTTTTATATAAGAGTAATAAAAAACTAAAAAAGTAAAAGATATACTATCTTATATATTATATATAAAAGAGAAAGTAGAGTTATAAAGATAAAGCTTCTATACTCTTCTTTAACTTATATATATATAAAAATTTTAAAATCTAGTTCTATTTTATTTTATAGTACTATAATAACTTATTAATAATAAGCTACTTATAACTTTTGTAATATATATAAAATATATAATAACTAAATCTACCTATTAAATATAGAAGAGATAAGAAAGAGGTTAAAAGTGAATTGTGGTGCGACGCGTCTCTTATCCGGAGACGAAAAGAGGGGCTAGCATCCCGACGCGTCCCGCCCGCACGCTGTCGAATGGCTTGCCAAGACTACCTCATCAACCCCCTACTTCATCAAACCACAGCGATCTTTTACAACGATAAGGGCTTGGCATCGATGCATAAAGTGCTATTTTGTACCTAGGTAGTCTTGAGGCTCGAAGAACGTCGACAACTGCGCGTCGTGTCCAGGCCAAAGAGAAAACACGACTTCCACATCATGTTACGAACATCGATGCGGTCGGTGATGTGCGCAGGTACGCTTCATTTATAGTATTCATCTCTGACATTCGCATTCATTACTTCAACATCACTTCTCCTTGACATGAACACCAACCCCCTTCCCACTCTCCCAGAATGCCACAGTCCTCTCTGCAATCGTCTTAGGGTTCAGCACCTTATTCTCTGGCGCTACAACTCCCTCGACATAGATAAGCCCGATGTGCACACCGCTATCACTGAACGCACGACTGAAGCTCTCCACCATGTTCTTCTGCGAAGCCTTCACCAGACTCAGTGAGAGGAGTTGCGGTACAGGATCCCACGGCAGATGGCTGTTAGTAACGAGGAGAGCGGGCTTGAGCGACGAGTTTGACTTGGCCAGGCTCTGGAGTCTGGGTATGTAGTGCTGTGCTATGACGTAGAGGGCTAGGTTCGTGGTCTACATATCTCCGTTAGCGTCTGTCCCGAAATGATGTTGTCGAAGAGGGAATCGTTACTTTGAAGTCTTCCTCAATCTCCTCCACGCTGACGCCTAGAACATCGTTCGGCTTTACGCGAGCAGCGTTGAAGAAGACGACTTCTACGTCTTCGCCTGCGGTCATGCTGTCTAGCTGCTTTAGTACATCCGGGATAGCCTTTGTATCCGCAAGATCGATGCGCAGGGTGTCGACTCTGACGGAGGAGTTGCTTTTGCTGACAAAAGGCGCATCTTCCTTCTCGAGACGTTCTGTGTTGCGCGACAGAAGGATGACATGCTCAATGCCTTTAGACGCGAATTCAGAAGCCACGTGATTACCGATTCCTGGCCCCGCGCCGAAGATGATGAGGGTACGTGTCATGTTGAAGTATTCAGGGTGTGATGCCGTCGATGTGGTATGCGGGAAGTGATCTTGCCGATGGGGCTGGAGCCTCATAATTTATACCCCGAAGCTCCTAAGAACTACATTTCAAATCATAATGTCGTCAAAGGTCTCGCTCGCGTATCTTACTATTGCCTAGCTGCATCCGAATAATGCTTACGGATGGCTTTCGTCCCGAGGTCGTCCACAGGGCGTACTTGGGCTTATAAATTGAAGCTTGCTGCTGCAGCACATACTGGTACATGATGTTCCCGGAGCTTGCAGAGTGGTGGGATGGAGTGTTGGGGGTCAAGTCTGCTCGAAAGAGGAGTATCCATCGTGGTTCCAGACGCGTCAAGGGCTGGGCCCACATGCCCATCGCGCTAGGTACATTAGCGCCTCGCGTCATATGCCCATCTACGCTTTCGAAGGCGTCACCGACGTTGTTAGTGATTCCGGAGGCTGAATTACTAACAGCATCATGTTGTTAGGGTGAGAGTGCGCGTTACTTAGGTATTGTCAAGCTTTGGGAAGCTTCTTGTGCTGAGTAAGATGCGATGTCGGCGGGGTCGCTGCCAGATCTACGACCGTACCAAGATCTCATCCCATGTCACGCGGATTCCCGGTTCGCTACTTCATCTCCATCTTGATGCATAATGTGAGCGCGAGAAACAATGAAGATAGGCAAAGGCTGGAATGTATCGCGTCGGCTCAGAATGACTCATTTTGACCAACCCTCTTTGGGCCAGATAAGGCGCACCTTTATATCGAGAACGAGCCGCGAACATCTTCCATGATGTCTTTTCCTTGATCCGCTTAGAATTACACCATGTCGCAACGAACAAGAGATACCACGCTCGCCAGCGGTTTCACAAAGACGATACATAAGAAACCGACCGCCGCCTTAGACCCAGCTTCCAACAAATTACCAAAGCCGCTCAACGTCCTCATAATCGGTGCATCTCGCGGCATTGGAGCCGGAATTGCATACGCATATGCACAAGCGGGTGCCGCGTCTCTCATCTTAGCAGCAAGGTCATCTTCAGCCCAAGAGCTAGCAGCAGTCGCAAAACAAGCTCAAACCCTTAACTCTTCGACATCGGTCAAGAGCCTGGAAGTCGATATAACATCTAATGAAAGCGTTGCGCAACTTGCGAGGAACGTGAAAGAAGAAGTGAAAAGGCTGGACGTTGTGATCGTCAATTCGGGGTACTCAGGACCGGTAGTGTTGAAAGTTGACCAAGGCAATCCGCAAGATTTCCAAGATGTATTCGACGTAAATGTACAAGGCACATATCTTGTTGCGCATCATTTTGTTCCGCTGCTAAAGGAGAGTGATGGCGCGAAGACGTTTATCGCCATCAACTCCTTTGCAGCATGCATCACCAACGGACACATTGCGAATACTGCGTATTGCATCTCGAAATTTGCGCAGGCACGTCTTGTTGAGTTTTTATCAGAGCAGTATGGTCCGGATGGTATACTAGCAGTTGCTGTGCATCCTGGGGCTGTGAATACTGAGATGGCGGATAAGACTACACCTAACAGCTTCCGATCTTGTAAGTGCATTGCTGCATGATTGTGGTATTCTTTTGCTGACTTTGTAGATCTCACAGATGATGTTGGTCTTGGTGGCGCGTTTTGCGTGTGGTTAAGCATTGAGAAGCGGATGTGGTTGAATGGCCGGTTGCTGGGTGCGACGTGGGATGTTGACGAGTTACTGGAGAAGAAAGCCCAGATTGAAGAGCAAGACTTGCTAAAATTTGGCTATAGGGTTGGCGATGCTGCGGCCATTGGAAAGCGAATATGAAACTGGTCGTACGACAGGCTATATCGTGTCTTCGGGCGTTGCCTCCATGTCTCTTTCCCAATCTACTAATCCAATGACGTTGCCTCGATCATACATACACGATCCCCTGTAAGCAGCAGAAAGCACGTCTCGCAAGTGCTGAGAACTGTAGTTACCCAAGTCTGGGCCGAGCGAAGCCTTCCGTAGACTGGTGCCGACAAGACATAGATCCAGCGTGAGATTGGGGTAGTTGACAGAGAATTGTGTTTCCAGAATCAGTGGAAGAATGTGGCGCAGAGGAACGTGTATATGAATACAAGATTCTCACATCTTTGATCAGACGACTCCCAGGAGCGGTTTTGGAGTTTTCATCGCGTAAGCTTCAGATATTTTCTGTGGGTATATAATACTATCAGAGGGATTATACACTACCAGCATGAGTACCGAAATGGACATCCTCCGGAGTTCTTGCGGATATGTCGCAACTGATAAGAATAATCGCATGAATATGCGCTTCTCCGCGAGAAAGGCGTGTCTAAATAAGCTCCTCCGTCCCATCATTCACCTACAAAAGGTCACACCCTCTTCCTCTACGTAAAGCCAGTCGACGCAGCCCCTTCCTTCGCACACCTCCCCGTCCACTCCTTCGCATGTTTCTCAAACTTCCCCCTCTCATTCGCATACTCGTTCGCAATCTTCACCTCGACCGCGCTCTCCAACTCCGGATGATCCAACAGCGTCCTTAAACTCATCAGCACCTTCTCCGTCGTATTATTGTGATGCCAATCTTCTCCCAACATCTTCCAACTCACAACACCGGTCCTACCATCAACGTTGGGATGGTAGATCTTGGTCGTGAAGTTGACTTTAGGTGGTGCCTCTGGGTATTCGTCGGTGAATTGGATGTGGAAGGCGAAGGTGCCGCCTTCGTAGGGGGAGTTATCGAGACCGTGGAGGGTGCCTGTCCATTCGAAGATGTCGCCGTGTCTTAGTTCGACGTGGTAGCCGTCCGCGGGGGTTTTGCGCAGGCCGTGGTACTCTTTTTCGAGGCG